AAAAAAAAAAAAAAAAAAAAAAAAAAAAAAAAAAAAAAAAAAAAACCTGATCGCTTGTGTTAATTGTCAGAGAGTTTCATGGTGAAATTTTTTACTTAATCTGGAAACTTACCAAATGGGAAGAACGCATCGCTGGCGAGCGCCGAGCCCTTGATCTCGTCTTCTGCCTTTTCAATGGCTATCACTGCACTCTTGACCCGGTTGGGCTGCCCACTCCCCATCCCAAGCATTCTCCCTCCCTGCAGCCGGCAGCAAACGCACAAAAAAGGCAAATGTGCAATTTCGTAAACAACGCACAAAGAACAACATCAGCTGCTACATCCCCCGCCATCTCTCGACAAAACAATTGTACATAATTAAAAAAAAAAAAAAAAAAAAAAAAAGTTATCAAGTTCATTGAGAATAGATTGAGTCAATTCTCATGTATAAAAATCATCCCCCTTTGCCCTTAACTATCGAACAAGAGTCCTCTGCTTTTTGTTTCCCCCCTGCACCTCTGCCTTCACTATGGCAATAGAGAACACGAGAGAGAGAGAGAGAGAGAGAGAGAGAGAGAGAGAGAGAGAGAGAGAGAGAGAGTGAGAGACTGCGCAGGAATGACACGAATAAATCAAGAAATGTTTTTAAAAAAAAACAAAAAAAAAACTGATATTGTTTAATCGTGGAATGGCCATATCAGCATCATTATTATTGCGTGTCATTCATCGTTTGGCACACCCCTGTACACACGGAGTAACCGACGTAGAAGTTAGACTACTGTTGCATGGCTTCGATATTTATTATCTACACGACTGATGGCTTCGAACATTTGTCCCGTTCGGGACATGAGTCATCGTCTTGTGTCTTTTCCTTTTCCTTCTCCATCACTGATTGTCTTCACTACACTCTTTCTTTTCCTCCTTCGCTGTCTAACTCTTTTGCTGTCATGTGAGATTGGTTTGAGCCGTCATCATTTATTGCGTGTCATTCATCTTTGCCACACTTATCACCAGGACCCCCCCAAAAAAGTACGGCCGCTGCCAGCCAGTCAAAGGCTACTGAAAAAAAAAAACACCAGATACAAAAAAACTACCCATGCTAAATTGGCAAAATTGCTAATTATAAAGGCAAGAAGACTTCCCAAGAAGACTTTCCAAGTTTCCACGCAAGTCTCATTGAAATTGATCACAAGATTCACAAGGGATTCAACATACATTCTGAAATTTCTGATTGACTGCCAATGTCTTCGCATCCCAATCCTCTTTTTTCCTTCTTTTTTTTTTTTTTTTCCCAATCCTCTTTTTCCTTTTCTTTGACGTAGCCAGCCCCCCATGTGCAACTGTACCTTTGCGATTGTGATGGCATTGCTCTTGACATGTTTCACACAGCGCCAAGCGAACTTCGCATCTTCCAGCTCTTCAGCAGTGGGTGCTTTTTCTGTAACAACCTGAAAGAACAAAGGGGAAATGAGACCACAAACAAACAAAAAAAAAAAAAAAAAAAAAAAAAAAAAAAAAAAAAAAAAAACCATGTCAGCCGCATGCTGATGCGTGTCATTCAGCCAACTGGTGCGGGTTATAGCCCCAGATGACAAGGCCAGAACTGCCCTCTTTGCTCAGGGTGGAGTGTGAGAGGTGGCACATGGGTGATCGGTATGCCCCTTGGTAAGTGTGATGAGGGAATGTGCGCTTCGAGCTTTTTTATGCGCTTTGCGTTTTTTTAATGCTGTTGTCTGACCCACAGACCCCCGGACCCCCTCTCCCGACTCCTCGACAACCCCCACGACGCCCCCCCCAGCAGGGCCCACAACAGGGCCCCCCCAACATGCCCCCCAACATGCCCCCCCAACAGGGCCCCCAACATGCCCCCCCAACAGGGCCCCTTGACAGGCCCACCTATGGACCTGCAAGAAAAAAGGAGCGCAAAGGAGCTAATGAATAAAATAAGAAGACTTGCATTATGCGAAAAAAGAACATTTTCCTAAACAAGACACTTCGTGGAGGACTGTTTGATGGAAGGAAACAAAAGTGCATGCTGGGGAGAGTACCAGCCACAAGCAGGGACAACAAGGCAAAGAGGAGGAGGAGGAAGCGGGGGGAATGGAGTGATCTTCGGCAAAGAGGAGGAGGAGGAGAAGAGGACGAGGAGAAGAAGAAGAAGAAGGCATCTCTCTCTCTCTCTCACACACCTGTCTCTTATACACATCTAGATGTGTATAAGAGACAAGGAGGAGGAGGAGGAGGAGGAGGAGGAGGAGGAGAGGAGGAGGTGTTTCTTCTTACTGTGAAAGTAATATCTTCTGGCCGCAAATCATCATCAGTCTGATGAAGCCAACCGCCTGCAACCTGGTGCAGGCATCGCCTTCCTCTCGTGGTGGGCTGTGCTTCCAGAATACGCAACGCTTTGCTCTTGCCTTTGAGTACCTCCAAACCTTTCTCCGTGTACGAAGGTGCCACCACAATCTCATAGAACATTCTCGTCTCTCCGTCCGTTGGGCTTCGGAACTCTCTCAATTCCCTTGCCAGATCCTGTTCAGTGTTCAGCGTTCAGTGTTCAGTCATCAACAGCACAATAAGACAAAAGATAAGACAGGATGAGAGAAAAGGAAGGATCGCAGAGAGGATCATTGAAAGGGTCATCAACAGGAAAAGGGATTAGATAAGACACGCTGGACCTGGTTTTCGGGAGATGAGGAGGCGCCCCTCCAATAGATTTGAGCCATCCACCAGGGGGATCGTACCCAGCGCTGCTCGCATCACCTTCGGGATCACCCACTACCAGTGGATGTAAAAAAAAAAACAAAAAGAAAAAAAAGAAAGAAAGAAAGAAAGAAAGAACGAACGAACGAATACAGCATAAGACAAAGGACGAGAGAACGGAATGAGACAAAGGATGAGAGAGAGAAAGGCTGTATTTAGTGCTTTGCGTTGTCTTTTGCGCGCCAGGGATAGGCCATGGCTATGGTGCACCTCTGTTGATGCCAAGCAGGAGAAGAGGGATTCGGACTTTGATTCTGGTTCAGCCAATCGCTTCTTCTTCTTCTTCTTCTTCTTCTTCTTCTTCTTCTTCTTCTTCTTCAGCCATTCATCACCATTATTATTATTTGATTGTTTGAACAAGTGAGGCGGCGATAAGGGGGAGCAGGAGTTGGCTGGCGAGAAGAAGGGGGGATTATCATTGGTCTTTTGCTGGTGTACATCTTTTCTTCTTTTTCTTTCTTTCTTTCTTTCTTTCTTTCTTCTTCTCCTTCTTCTTTATCTCTCCCGCCTCTCAAGTTCTCATTCATTTCTTTTGCAATTGGACGGCATTGTACTTTCGTGTGAATTTGCACTTGGAAATTGACCAGGATCGTAACATGTAGAAAGAACAGCTCTTTCAATGAACGATAACTGAATACTAGGTGAATAGTCATTAAGGCTGTATTTATTGCGGTTTTCAGGCCAGATACAGATACAATGACCGGGACCACAGAAGCATGAGGAACCAAGTACCACACCATTGGAAACACCATTTGCAAGGATCACCACCATTTCCACGAGGATAAAACCCATCCATTTGTATTTAGTGTGTTTTTCAGGCCAAATACAGATATAATGACTGGGCATTCAGGTGGGGGAAGGTGGGGGGGGGGAATGACTGGGCATTGTGGTGCTGGTGGTGGTGGAGGAGGGTTGCGGGGGGGGCCGGGAATGGGGAGGAAGAAGGAGGGGTCGGGAGGGGGTAGGTTAGAGAGCACTTAAGATTGGCTGACCTCATCAACCGGGACGTTGAAGGCCACAATTCCCCCGAACGCACTGACGGGATCTGCTCTGACAGCCATTCGATAGGCTTCTAGCAGATCTGACGTGCTGCTCGCAACGCCGCATGGGTTGGTGTGCTTGACGACGACGCAAGTCGGTTCAACGAACTCGCAAACACAATTCCAGGCAGCATCTGCATCCAGATAGTTGTTATACGACATCTCCTGCTCGACATCCATCACACATCGCAGGTAACAAACAGTACACAGTCACTATAAAAAATAGTATAAATAAAATTAATAATAACTTTCAAACATAAAATTCACAAACTTTCATACAAAAAATCAATAAATAAAACATAAATGTTTAAAATATTAAATTTGCTAATTAGTAATTTCATATTAAATCAATAAATTAATGAAATTTAGTGATTTCTGGTCACAACAAACATAGAGAAGGATAAAATTAAATATTAAAAAGGTAAATACTAAATCGTAATAAATATAAATGCCATAAAAATCATTATTACAGTAGCTGCGGTGGCCAGTACTTTTGCAGTACATCACGAATTCCATCGACTGAAGTCTTAAAAAAAAAAAAAGAAAAAAAAAAGGAATAATTATTACAGCAGCTATGGCTGCCTACCTGATGACCTGATGGGCATGATGAAGAGTTTCCTCAACACTGCACAGACCTAATTAGGAAATATTATTACAACAGAATCTGGTGATGGACCTCCTCATCATGCCCATCAGCGAGGCAGCCATAGCTTCAGCAAATATGGATTCGAATCTTCACAGTGTGAACCAAAATTTGGGCCTCGCTGCACTACTCTCCGAATGTGCAAAATCAGACTCCATCCTCTGCTAGAACATCGAAATAATACCGAAATAAAATATACATTGCCATCCTTTTTGTATTTTGTGCATGTTGACAGTAGTGCAGCAAGGCCCATTACCTACCCAGTTTTGACTCTTGAGCCGATAAAATGGGTAGTTAAAGCACTAGTACCTTCTTCGGTTCGGAAAATAGCCGGCCTCCGACCTTTCGGGAGGCCGGCTGAAACGAAACGACAGCCGCCGATCAGATTGATCAACGGCAGCCGTTGTCGGGGGCCCGGCCTCCTAAAAGTTCGGGACGAGGCTAAGACTTGTCGAAACCGGACGGCAAAGGTAGTCTAATGGTTTAAGCGAAAGCCGGAATAAGGGGGGAGGAACCTGGGTTAATTAGCAGCAAAGATGGATTCGAATCTTCAGCTGAAATTACATATGAGCGTACAGAGTTCAATCTGTACTAAGCAAACACGTTGGCTTGAATAATACTCAAAAAAAAAAAAAAAAAAAAAAAAAAACTTGGCGTGAAATGACACGCCACATGGCCTCCTGGTTCACATGGGCGAGAGGGAGGTATAAACTCCACCCTGGGTCGCATGGGTACCCCGGACATAGGGGCCTCACTCCACCAGTCCCAAAAAGTGCAAAATGAGAATGAATCGTACCCTAGATTCCTAGAATATGGAAAAATAATAAATACACCACCCCCTTTTTTTTTTTGAGTTAGTTTTCGTGCATGTGGTCAGTGGTGGATCGAGGCCCATGACTCCCAAATACAACTCCGCAGGTGTTCTAAATGAAATAAAGTTTAATACCCCCCCCCCCCCCCCCCCCCGGGGAGTCCTATTTACACACACAAAAAAAAGAAAAAACACTCGGGATTTATGCTCAGGGGTACTGAGTCGACCTTTTTTTGCCTTCTTTTTTTTTCAACACAAATTTCAAATTCCTTGGATTGGACTAGACTTGCTTCTGTTCTGGGTCAGATCTGAGTCAGATCTGGGTTGAATCTGGTCCAAATCCAGGTCAGATTTGGGTCATATCTGAGTCACGTCTGGTCGTCAAATCTGAATCAAATCTGAGTCAAATCTGAGTCAAATCTGAGTCAAATCTGAGTCAGACCCAGCCTGACCTGTAACAAGTACGGACAAACCAAACTGACCCACACAAAGTGACGCGCCCTTAACTCAATCTGATGTGACTTGACCGAACTCGCGTCACAAGATTAGACCTAAATCTTACGAAAAATCTTACGACGTGAGTTAAGTCCGGATCTAACAGGCTATGCAGATATAATGGGGTCAATTCTGAGTCTTCTGAGCCATCAGCTTTGTTTTGTTTTCTTTTTTTCAATGGCGTGGGTTTCACGTCTGACCTATCAGCTTGAGTTGGATGTGGTCAAATCGTCGCATAGACAGAGCTGACCAGATCCAACTCAGATCTGACTCAGATCTGACGCAGATTTGACTCAGATTTGATGCAGATTTGACGCAGATTTGACAAGCCAGACGTGGCTCAGATCTGACGCAGATTTGACTCAGATTTGACAAGCCAGACGTGACTCAGATACGACCCAAATCTGACCTGGATTTGGACCAGATTCAACCCAGGTCTGACTCAGATCTGACGCAGAACCGAAGCAGATCTGGCCCAGATTCAAACCAGATACGGCAACCCAGATCAGATCTAACACAAATCTAACCCAGATTTGACCCGGGTCTGACTCAGATACGGTGAGACAGATCTGACGTCCATCTGACCCAAACCTGACCCAGATTTGACAAAGATCTGAGACACAGATATGGCGACCCAGATCAGAAGCCGATCGGACACAGATTTTACGCAGACTTTACTCTGATTTGACACAGACATGACGACCCAGATACGAGATCTGTCCCCGATCTGAGTACGTTTGACCCAGACGACCAGATCTGAGGCGGATCCGATGCGGATCCAACCCCCAAAGCTTTTACCCAGATGCGACTCAGATCTGATCTCGCCCAGAGGTGACCCAGACCTGACTGACACCTGACCCAGATTCCCAGATTTGATTCCGATCCGATATTAGATTTGATTCCGATCTGATATAGATTTGATTCCGATCTGATATAGATTTGATTCCGATCCAATATAGATTTGACCAGGTTTGCCCCAGATGACCAGATCTGACCTGGCAATGACAACCCAAATCTCACCAGGTTTGACCAAGATCTGACTGCCTCGAGTTCCCACCAAGATTCATCAGACATCTGACCCACATCGGATTGAGATCTGACCAAGATGTAACTGACTGGTTTGATGAAGATCTTTTTTTTTTTTTTTTTTTTTTTTTTGTTGGGGGGGGTGACGATTTCTCGATTTATGCGTGTCATCCTTGCGCAGGGGCCATGCTAATCTCTTTCTCTGTATCTTTCCAGTTTTAACGGATGTCCTGAAGGACTAGTTTGACCAAGATCTAACTGACTGGTTTGATCAAGATCTAACTGACTGGTTTGACCAAGATCTGACAGACTGGTTTGACCAAGATCTGACTGACTGGTTTGACCAAGATCTGACTGACTGGTCTCCGACGCAGACCTGACCCACACACACAGTAGATCTCAGTGCCCATAGGGTTCGGCCCAGATCTAACCCAGATGATCCGACTGTCCAACCCACTGGTTTGACCAAGATCTAGCCAACTGGTTTGACCAACATCTTGACCAATATCTAACCCACAGAGTCAATCTGCATCATAGGGTTCAGCCCTGATCTAACTCAGATCCGACTGCCTAACTCGCCGGTTTGACCAAAATTTAACTGACTGGTTTGACCAAGATCTCTAACTGACTGGTTTGACCAAGATCTAACTGACTGGTTTGACCAAGCTCGAACTGACGGGTTCGATCAAGATCTAACTGTAGTAGATCTGAGTGCTCACATACGGGGTTCGACCCTGATCTAACTCAGATGACCCGACTGCATGCTGGAAGTTGTGTTGTGCCTTGCCGGCAGCTGAACCAGATCAGACCTTGCCATGGTGCTGAACAGCTGTGCCGATTCCACCCGCCGTGAATGCAGTCAAGGATTTGTCGACGTAGAAGCCTGCCTTCTGATGAGGGTTCTCTCCATATCTCAATGACGAATGCAGCGTCATCGGCACCGTCATACTCGGGGGGAGCTCGCCGTCTGTTTGCACACACACACGTCAAGAAATTCATCCAGTTCAAAGACAAAAAGAGGGAGGGAGGGAGGGCGGCATCAGTACAGCTACGATTGCGCACACTTCAACACAAAAGAGTCAGAAGAGATGAAAAGGCATCAATCAATCAATCAATCAAATGCGGCGTCAGAACATGCTTTAGATGTCAGGGTCTGTTCATCAGAAAGACCATCACTCATCTTCATCGAACACATTTACCCGATGAAGATTCTGCTCTTTCTTCTAGAAGGGAAAAGTTGTTTGCAAGCACAGCAGATCGATCGCAGGCAAACCCAGCATAAGGACCTGTTAAAGAGAGAGAGAGAGAGAGAGAGACGGACGGACGGACGGACGGACGGACGGACGGACGGACGGACGGACAGACGGACGGACAGACAGACAGACAGACAGAGATAGACAGACAGACAGACAGACAGACAGACAGACAGACAGACAGACAGACAGACAGACAGACAGACAGAAGCGCACCAGAATGGATATGAACTATTATGGATCCGGGACCATAAGGACCTACTTTTGGGGGGGGAGGGAAAAGAAAAGAGAGAGAGAGAGAGGGGGAGAGAGAGAGAGGGGGAGGGAGAATGGCTTGCCTGATGTTTGTTGCCAGAGCCATTCTGCTACCGCAGCATCATATGACGCTACGTGTTGAAAAGCCTTCCATGCGAGTTTTCGCCGGAAGGAAATGTCGACACCACCGTCGTTTCCCCTCAGCCGATCCAGCAAGCTGGCATAGTCAGCAGGGTCAACCACAACCAGGACATCTTCATGATTCTGCCAACCAACCACCACCATGGATATTAAACATCACCGCAAAAAAAAAAAAAAAAAAAAAAAAAACTGACTGGATAACGAGATTGAAAAAAAGAGCTGGATAAAAAAAAACACAGATCAATATTAATTTATTAAACATCACCACACAAAAAAAGGTCCGGAAAAAGCGGTTAAACTTGCATTAAACTTGGGTTAAACTTGCATTAAACTTGGTTTAAACTTTAAACTTGTATTAAAATTGGTTTAAACTTGCATTAAACTCGATTTAAACTCGGTTTCAACTGGGATTTAAACTGAGATTAACTCGGGTTAGACTTTGACTACCATGATTAAACTTCGATTAAACTTTGATTAAACTTTGATCAGGCTCGGATTAAACTTGGATTTTACATGGATTAACACAATAACAGCATACTATTGTTAAGGGTTGCTCGTTAGAGAGAGAAAAAGAGAGAAAAAGAGAGAGAGAGAGAGAGAGAGAGAGAGAGAGAGAGAGAGAGAGAGAGAGAGAGAGAGGGGGGAAGGTACCTTTGCTGCAGCTCGAATCATTGTCGGTCCGCCGATATCGATGTTCTCAATGCCTTGGGCGAAGGACGTCCCTTCCTTCGCAGTGACTGTACTATAGAATGGATATAAGTTGACGACAACAAGATCAATTGTCCCTGCAAGCAAGCCAAGTACGGTAGGGGGAGGGGGGAGAGGGGAGAGGGGGGGGGGGCGTAGCAGAGGACAACGACAACAAACGATTAATCAACAGAGACCACCACCAGGTCTCGCTTCTCACATCCTTTGCGCTATTCTTTTGCAGTTTGCTTCTTTTTTCTTTCTGTACTTGCTCACCGGAGTAATAAGCAACGACAGTAAATCAATAATCCTTTCTTCTCTGCGTGTTATGGAAAAAGAATCTCGCATTGGCGGAGGGCAAGAATGCAAAATTCTGAGCAGTGCTGGTAGGAAAGCAATGGAGCATTGGCGGAAGTTCAATTCACCCATCAAGGATAGTGAAATAGTAGAAATAGTGAAAAAGGAAAAGAATACATTCACCAAGCGAATGAACTTCCCCCATTTGACGTACAACATTCATCACGCGAAGTCCAATATAAAATTTCAGAAGATTTCACAATCAAATTTATGAAGGGCAAGTCAACACGGCAGACATAGTCAAGGACAATGGTGGAATAGCATACTTGCAAGCAGACGCAGTCCGGGCGGTTCCGCACGTGCGGCAGACCGTCGGGCCGGACCGGACCCGTGCGGCGCACCAATGTGCGCCCGATGACCAGTTACACCCCCCCCCCCCCCCCAAAAAAAAAAAAACAGCCCCGCCCGGTTCGGTCCGGACCTGGTCCATCCGGTCCGGGGGGGGGGTGCCGCACGTGGCAAAGCGGACCGGACCGGACGCTCGTCCGGTCCGTCTGCTTGCAAGTATGTGGAATAGGCTATGGTGGAATAGGCTAAGGTAGAATAGGCTATGGTGGAATAGGCTAAGGTGGAGTAGGCTATGGTGGAATAGGCTATGGTGGAATAGGCACAAGGTGGAATAGGCTATGGTGGAATAGGCTAAGGTGGAGGGCTATGGTGGAGGGCTACGGCAGAGGAGGCTAAGGTGGACGGCTATGGTGGAAGACTATGATGAAGGCTATAGTGGCGGCCTAAGGTGGAGGGCTATGGTGGAGTATATGGAAAGAGAGTTGATGAAATGGACAATACCAATGCCATGGTCCTGTAGGGCACTCATGTGCGACGACAAGCCTCTTCTTGCAAGAATGCCTCCATGAACAGCCGGGTGCAGAGTCTTCACCCTCCCATCAAGCTGAGACACACACACACACACACACACACACACACACACACACACACACACACACACACACACACACACATGCACAGCACACACACACACACACACACAAACATAGAGACGTTGTCAGTTGGCTATTCTGAAATACATTAGTCTGACAGTGGGCTATTCAGCCAGTTGGTTATTCTGGTACATGTCATCTAGACGTCAGCTACATCAGAATACTGACCACATGGTCAGTATTCTGGTATTTGTACGTTGCGAAGGTAACATGTACGTACATACGGCTGAATACCAGAATACCGACCACGTGCAGCCGTACATTGAATTTTCTGCCACATCAGGTGCACCACGTACAGTAGCTGACGAGTTCTGTCATTGTTATACGAATTTATATTATATCATAATAATACCTATTAAATAGTAAGCACAATGATGCTAAATTTCATAAAAATACTTTGGCTATACGATTATGAAGTTATATGAACTTATATCATAATAATAGTTACTAAATAGTAACTGGAAAAAGAAAAAAAAACGATTCCTCAGTTTGGTTGGCACGCCCTCATGAAGTTATGCCTGACAAACCATTTCAGCGAAATACTTTGGACTACTTGAGAGAGGGAGCGAGGGAGCGAGGGAGAGAGGGAGGGGAAGAGGGAGGAGGACAGTTAGGCCCGACAAACCATTTCAGGGAAATTTTTGGGTGACATGCTCAGCCTGCCACAACAGGACTCAGGCTAGGGATTTTTCGACCGAATAGCACAGTAATTGCCGTCTTGTACATTCCGGAAAACACATGAGAGAGAGTGTGGCACCCTTAGCCTCTTTTTCTGGTTGACGTCACAACAAGAAGTTAGGTAGTATGAGCAAAGAATAGAGAAAAGGAGGGAGGGAGGGAGAGAGGGAGGGGACGGAGAGGGAGAGGAGAGCGAGAGGAGAGAGAGAGGGAAAGGAGGGAGGGAGGGAAAGGAGAGAGGGAGTGTGAAAGGAGGAGGGAGGGAGGATCGAGGAGTGAAGGAGGAGGAGGAGAAGGAGAAGGAGGAAGAGGAGTAGGGGAATTGCGAGGATTGCTGCGAGGTTAGGAGGCACACAGGCATGCTGGCAAGTACAGACATACCATTTCCGGAAAGTTGGTGACATGCTCAACCCGCCGGACAGCTAGTCCTTCCTTCTCCAAAGCTGAAGCTGTCCCACCTGTTGAGATTAACGAATAACTGTTGACAACAACAACAACAACCACGACCCAGAAAAAAAAAGAAAAAAAAAAAAAGTTGAGCGAAACTCCCCAATGTGAATATAGACACAAACTTCAACAAAATATATATTAATCATTATTAAACAAAATTTGGCACAGCTAGACATCACAGACTCTCTCTCTCTCTCTCTCTCTCTCTCTCTCTCTCTCTCTCTCTCTCTCTCACACACACACACACACACACACACACACACACACACACACACACACACAAGATTAGCACAGAATAGCACAGGTTAGCACAGACTACCACAGAATGCCACAGAACAATAAAAAGACAGCACAGAATAGCACAGAGGAGAGAACAGAATAGCAAAGAAGAGAGCACAGCATACCCCAAAAGAGCACAGAAGATAGCACAGAAGAGAGCATAGAATAGCACGGAAGAGAACACAGAAGAGCACAACACAGCACAAAAGGGCACAGAAGCAAGCACAGAAGCGAGCACAGAATGGCACAGAATAGCACACGAAAAAAGGGAACAATATACAAGATAGCAGCATTGCATGGTGCAGCAGAACGGCACAGAACAGCACACCATAGCATTGTGCATACATTCCCGCAAAGAGCCCACAATAGCCCAGAATAGCACAGCATTTTGCATTATAGATTATTCATTATATAACTTCCTATACTATTCATTATAGCGTTGTTCATTGTAGCATAGACTGTACATTCCAGCATCGAGCAGCATAGCGAAGCATAGTGTGGTGAAGTAAATCATACCCCATTTCAATCAATCAGTGACAGTGATTGATTGATTGATTGATTGATCTATTGATCTATTGATCTATTGATTAACTGACTGATTGATTGATTTACTGAGTCACTGAGTCATTGAGTCAAGGATTCACTGATTGATTGATTGATTGATTGATTGATTGATTGATTGATTAATTGATTGATTTATTGATCAATTGATTGACTGATGGACAGAGGGAGGGAAGGAGGGATGGAGAGAGGGAGGGATAGATAGATGCATTGCACGGAGAGTTCGGTAAAAGGCAAAACTGAGGTATGCAATGGGCAATGGGCAAAACGCACGCATACCTCAGTAGACAGATGCATTGCTGGACATGTACAAAAGTCACACTGACTGATGACGAAATATTCAAAAAAAAATCAAAAAATATTCAAAAAGTATTTACAAAACATTAGCAGAGCTCGTAATGAGCTGGGATGATTAAGATAGAAAAAATAGCACGTCACCCCTCTGACAACGCTCATGGGGAACCATTTTTCTACACGTCAACAAAATATTATTACAAAAAAAAAAAAAAAAAAAAAAAACGGCGCTCAAAAAATCAAAAAATCCTTACCCCAGCTCTGATAGTCCATTTGCCAGCAGCAGCAGGTCTGTCTTATCCGAAAGAGATAAAAGGGCCTGTTTTCCTTCTGAACCTACAAACACCAAACAACACAGAATTCGCCATCTTGAGCACAATAATAGAGAGAGAGAGAGAGGGAGGG